ATATAACATTTTAGACACATTCTAGACAGTTTATCAGCTAAAAAAAGTTAATTTTGGGGTAAGTTACCCTTTAATGACAATTGGACATTTATGATGAAGATTACAGAGTGAAGGAACTAAAAACTAAAGTCTAGTCATTTTTTTTTTTGGGGGGGGGGGGAGTATTATGGCTAAATCAAATAGTTTGAGCTTTATATCATTATATATCATGACACCAAAAAATGGTACAAAAGATTTAAAAACACTGAATCCCTCCAAGATAAGCAAGTGGATTGTAATTGGACGGAACAAACAAGGTTCTTAAACCGGGCTTTTATCCCATCCTCCAGGTGGCTAATTACCCAAAAATCAATCCTGATGCTAATTTGGACCACCTCGCTTTCACAGCACAAAGTCACATCTGAATTCAGAGTGGATAGCTGGAAGCTGGTCTAAATCCACCCACAGCCCTCAGGACACAGGCCACAAGGGTATATTTTTAGTTTTTACACTCTTACTGTAAACAGAATAAGCTCCTAAAGGAAATCGTGCACAAAAGGGCGAGGGAAGGAAGAAGATGGGACTCTAAATTGTGACATTTCACAAAATTAATCCTGTGAGAAGCCCTAACAGCCGACCTTAGCCTCCCAAAGACACTTGACATTAATTAGAACCATCTATCACAACACATTTTCATGTGAAATTTCCATTTTTTTAAAATATATATTACTTACCATCCTCTCACAACCTTTACAGATATGAGAGGCGAGAGCTCCAGAGACGAAGCGTCTGCTACATCACCATAAATCTCATGTGCTTGGCCACTGAACTGAGCTTTTTCAAACAGCACCATCTGCATAGAGATATAAAGGGCAGCGTGGGGAGAAAAAAACCAACACATTATACGAAATAAAAGCATCAATCACTAAAGCTATCATTTTAAACCAGGATTCACTGAATGCTGAGAACATCCCAATAACAAGACGCTTTGCTTTGTCTGCATTCGCCGATGAAGCACAAAAAAACAGCTCATACAGGCACACAATTATGAGACTCCACAGAGAGCAATGTTCACGTAATGAGTCACTGCAGTCTAAAAGATACATTTTATAGTTGAAAAGAATATTGAAAACTTGTGTGAAAACACAAAAATACCTATTTTCCTATCAGTCATGTTGAAAGCCCTCCTTAACAAATCTAAAAGCAACTTTAAATCACTCATTTTAACATAATAGACCTTAATTAGAGCTAAAGCACAAGGTAGACTGAGTTCATAATTAACTTTTAATTAGGCAAAAAATAATTTCACTGAACACTGGGGGAATATTTTGTTGCAACYATGATAATAATAATGAAAAACCTTAGCACTGTGTTAGCAGCACTAAATTCCATGATTGTAATCATACCCAGCTGAGAATTTAGACTAGTTTACCCCCAAGAACACCATATGAAAAGCAGATGTCTTCACAAAACAAAGAGCTGTCTGTTTCAGATTCCTCTCTCCATCTTGTTTCCATTCAGAACGGRCAAAGTCGTGACTACTGTACCTTTCCAGGGCGCTTGTGAAATCCCTTGACGGTTCTTATCTGGAATGGGAAAAGCACATTATAAAGATTGTGACAAGTACAGCCGGAGCCCAGCTAACTTCTATAAAAAAAAAAAAAAGAAAAGAAAAAGTGCAACACGTTGATTAGTTTGTGCACCGGCTCTGTGCCTGCAGATTATCTCGACCAGTGGGTGTTTRGGAAGTACCCAGCTCTGGTTTCGTGCTGAAACACTGCGAACAGGCCGAATACARCATGAGCTCCTAAAACCCTCTAAAGCTAATTGCAAGTTTGGGTGCTCTAAATGGTGTTTCCCAAAGTTGGGGTCGGGACCCAAAGTGGGGTCCCGAAACATCAAGGTGGGGTCCTGAAAAGATTTTCTGAATTAATTACATTTTTGCCTTAGTTGCTACAAAGGAGTGAGGTTAGTRTATTTAAAATGTATAAATGTAGTATAAAAAATATTATTACTATGCCCATGTTTAGTTGACCTGATACAAATGTTTATCATCCAAAAATAGTTGGGGGCACAGGTCTCTGCTACTGTTATTTTGTGGGTGACAAAAGCTGAAAAGTTTGGGAACCACTGCACTTTGGTTCCCAAAGTTGGGCTTGGGACCCAATTATGGGTCATGAAGCACCTTGGATAATCTCCAGAAATCAATTTAAAGTGTAATAAAATAATTGCTGATGTAATATTTTCCCTATAATTATTACAAAACAAAAATAAAAATAAGTATTCATATTTCTGTACAAGCCATTTAGATTCTCACAAAGCCTATGCTTTTTTGGGTTATGAACAAAGTTTTTGTACTCAGACCAGTAATATTTGGGGTCACAAGTTTTCATCATGGATATTTTGTGGGTCAGAAGATAAAAAGTTTGGGAACCACTGCTCTAAATGGTGTTTGAATCATGGAGATAAAGCAGCTCTGTCAACCAGAAACACTGTCACAGATGGTAATCTTTGATTTAATTTAATATCTTTTGTGGAGAGAAGTTTGGGAGTCAGTACTCATTCTTCTTTACTGCATGGATTTGCTTCTAAATGTGCAAAAGTAAAGTTTTGGCTACAGCTAAACAGAGTTCAGGAATCGCAAACTACGTCTATTTCATCACAAACAAATGCACTGAATAAAAAACTTTGTGGGTTCATTGGGAGTCCTTGTAATTAAAACCCAATTACACCGACCTTTCTTGCAGATAGCGGAAGGAACGAAGCAGAAAAATAATGTTCCATGTAAATTTAATCAACCATTTTGCATTTGAGCTTAAGAAATGTTATGTTAAATAAGTCCCAGTTGCCCCCCAAAAAAAGCTTTTATTGCTGCATTCAATTTACTTTACGAGGTTGAACATTCAACTTATCAATGTTTCAGTTGCAGGATGGAAAACCAACGCAATATGCTAATTGCAGGGGTGGAGCCAGAGGGGTGRCCGGGGTGGCAAGTGCCCCTTCTGTATGCTAAGCTGCATGTCAACCTGCCGGATCGCCTCTACCATCCATATTTTCAACAAACATATTTTGAATTGACATTTTAAAAGCCATCTTCATCAGCGTTAGCGGCTGCTTTTGTCGCAGGATGATGACATCACAACAAAAGTAGCACGCCAAAAGCAAAGGGTGCATTTCATTCCGAAATACTTAAACGTGAGCCTTATTTTTTTAGCTGTAACATTTAAGATTTAATTTTATATACATATTCAGATTTAGGGACATATTTAAATTAGCAAAATGTAAGAACAATGAGCTGAATAATAATAAAATGTGCTTGCGACATTTTTAAACATTTAATTATACACTTGGCGCCCCAAATATTACAGTGTTGTTTGACCAACTTTAAAAGGCAACAATGGACCTGTGTGAAAAAAAAATATATAGACTTTTAGATCATGCACATGATCAAACAGTATAATAAAAAAAACTGGTGAAAATTGTTCAACATTGGATGAAATGACACAGCATGGTTCTAAAACATCATCAAAATCATTTATTCATCCAACCAAAAGGAGTACAAGACAACAGTCATGTGAACACATAGGGTTAATGTGAACAGAGGTGTACTATAGAGAACCAAATGTGTTAGAATTCCCATGAAAATGTCCACGTGCCGCTGTTCCAAGCAAAATTAAAGATAATAACAGTCTTTTAGCTCCTCGTGCCAAAGTCAAAGTCAATACTTACAGCTCAACTTGTAAACTCTAAGTGCTCCAGGACATGAATGTAATGTTTAAAACACACTTACATGTTCTTTGAATGTGTTGTCTGGCTGAGTCAAAGGCTGCTTGTGCTCAGGAAGTGTAGCGTGTGTGGTTGGAGGAATCCCAGGAAAACGCGGAGCTGCAGAGTTTCGTTTCAAGGCTTCGTCTGCTTTAGCTTTTGTAGCTGAACAGGTCATTTTTGCTGTTAGCTGAAGGCGTAAACAGAAAAAAAAACAACAGGAAAAATGCATATTTGTTAATAAAATGCTTTGTGAATAGCTTATTGTTTAAATGTCATCACACACCAATTGTTTCGTGTTTTAAAGGTTATAACTCGGCTTTACTTCAACGTGCCTCAAATGCACAGACATTCTGATCACTCCCATGCACACAGAGTTAAACTAACCTCCGGTCTGACTTGGTCCTGTCCTCGAACGCTCTGCKCCGCTTTTGCTGGATCCGGTGGGAGGTACTTCTCTAAATAGTCCGGCAGCTTGATGTCGTTAAAAGAAGGAAGTGGAGGACCTGAGTCACTGACCGCAGTCTCTGCAGCCCGGGCTTCCTCTTCGCTCTGCTTTGCTGGTGTGTCTGTGGCTGCAGCTGTAGGGATCTGTGGGGCCGGCTGGGGTGAAAGTACAGGGCTGAGTTGTGGGGGTTTGCTGGGCAACACATTCTCTGAGCCCTCTGCCAGTGTCTGAGCTTCATTCTTCTTCCCTCTATAGCTACAGGAGGCAAGGCTGCTGAGGATAGAGCTCCTCTCCAAGCGAGACTTCACTTTTATCTCATCATCTTCCTTTACTTCCTCCCCATCCTTGATAGGATTCTTTTCCTTGAGGTGCGTGAGCGTGTCAAAGCCACCAAGCAGCATGCTCCGGTCAGCGACGCTCACCCTGGCAGGCAAGAGGCCAGCTTTYGTCTCCGTGCTCTGGAGCTTCACCAGAACGCTCGGAGTCGTGTCCAAAGCGAGCTGCGTCTTCTTTCTCAAGCCAAACGTGAACTCGTCGGGGTCAAACGGCTTCTCGTAGCGGTCCTCCCTGATGGCGGGCATCGCGAAGGCGGGCTGAGGCGGTCGAAAGTGGTTGTGCTTGCGCGGCGGGAGGGAGAACGGCGCGCAGAGATTCTTGATTCGTTCCACGAAATCGTCGTCATCGAGCTCGCCGGAAGTGTCCAGGAGGTTGCTCTCACTTCCAGARGAGGTCAGCTTGGCCTCGGAGACTTTAAGTTTGCGTTTGGGAACGTCTACGTCGAGCCAGCTGGAGGGGGAATCGTGCTGGTTTGAGAAATCAGCTTTCATTAGTTCTTTTGGCAAAGTGAGCTTTTTCATGGCTGAACGGTGCGTTGAGCCACGAATCAGCTTATTAGCCTCTGGTAAAACAGGAGCTTTGGGAGTTGGGCTTGTCTCGTCATTTGTTGATTCTTGTTTGACTGTGTGGGGCTGTGAACGCAGGGAGGTATCACCATCAGCAACAGGTGAAAGTTGAGCCACTGGCTGAGGGAGTCTTTCCTCAGCTGCCCTGTCTGTTTCCTCCCTGGTGGAGCGAGATGTGATCGTATCAGAGTGGCTCGGAGTTATTTTCTCTTTATCTTTGACTGAAGAGATATTAATACTGCTCTCTGTATTTTTTGATCCCTCGGCTGACGTGTGACTATGAGCTGGTTTTTGCATTTCTTTAAAGTTTACTCCCTCTGAGAGCGTGGATTTGACAATGGAACCATTCTGAAAACCCCCCTCCTCAGATTCTGTCCGTGTTGTTGATTTCCTGTCAGAAATATTAGGCTTTTCAGTCAATGAATCCATCTTAGCCGGCTGTGTCGTGGCTGTCTGGGCAGGTATGGGCACTGGAGTGTCATTAGTGCCTTCTGCACTCACTCCCTCATCTGGTGCAGCAGCTTTAGTAAGAGGTTTGGAGTTGAGGAACCCAGCATCATTAGCTCCATGTGCACATGAGTCATCGGGCAAACTCTCTGTTTTTTCCACAGACGGAGGTCCACGAGCTGCCATCACCGCCGACTCTCTTTCTGTTCCAGAGCTTTCTGCGGGTTGTGCTCGTGACTGAGGAGGCACATCTGTAGCTGTCTTAGGCTCTTCATCACACTCTGTGCCCCTCACAGCCTCATTAGTCTGGGTGGTGGTACAAATAGGACTTTCAGGCGTCACAGTGGCAGTCTGTGTTTGAACAGGGAGGACTGGTGATCCACTAGTCTTTGCAACAGACGGCTGACAGGGTGATTCTAATTGCTTGGTTTCTTCGACTCTGCTCTCTTCCCCCGGGCTACTTGGTCCTCCGTGTGAAGTGTCGTCCTTTGTGGCGCTTTTATCTAAAAGCTGTGTTTTTTCTTTGATTTGCGTTGTTTCCTTGCCGCCCACCAGTTTTAATTTTGTAACACCTTCAGTCTCGGTTCGACGTATTAGCTCTGCGTCCAGACTTTGAAGCTGCTGTGTTTTTTCCTCTCCCCTTTGTTTACTCTTCGATTCGATCGGCACTGATGAGTCGTCATCCAGTTTGGGGCGTCCAGCAGAGGACTCCTGCTTTGCTGCAGGAGGCTTCTCATGATGCCGCTCAGATGAGGAGGTTAATATTAGGGAGGGGGCTGAAATGTCACTGCTGCCCTTTAAAACCTTTTTGTTTTCCGGTGTAAACACGAGGCCGTGTTCCTCTATTTTTCCCTCCTGTTGGCGTACAGTATCAGCCTCCCGGTCAATAGTATCTTTTGTTCCACTGGTAATCGCTGCAGTATCAGGTTCATCTCTGTTGACAGGCGCTTCAGTTGATCCCTCCTGCTCATTTTGCATTTTATCAGTCATTTTTGTCTTAACCGAAGCTCGCAACACATGTTTGTCAGACCCTGAATCCTTTTTAAATGTCTCCTGTGGAGGCTGTGCAGCTGATGATGCAGAGAGTGTCGGAGATGCTAATGAGATTGTTTCTGGAAGTGGTTTGGAAGCAGAGGGCATCTCGTCTGTATTATCCACTTCATTTTGTTTAATAGTTTTATCTTTTTGGTCGTTTGGGCTTTTGGGACTGGCCGGTTCTTTGCCTTTCCTTCTTTTAGAGCGGGAGCCTGTTCTGTTAGGGCCTTTGGGTTGTTGGGGGGTGGTGCTGGTCAAATCTGTTAAACCAGCCGGGTCTTTGGGTTCAGTAATGTTTGGTTGTGTGACCTTTGTTTCGTTTGTTTTAGAGTCCATTAGTTGTGTCTCTGACGTGGAAAACTGCCCCCCAACAGCAGAACTACCCTGTCCGTCTGGTTTGGATCTTATCTCTGGGATTCTTTTTATAAGTTTTGGCTCTTTCTCATCCAGTTTATCCTGATCATCCAGTTCTGATGACTTTGATCCTGAAACTGCAACAGACAAGGAGGACTTTGGAGGTATTTTTGTCAGTGGTGGTATTTGCTGAGTCGGTTCTTCTGACTTTCCCGCTTCTGAAAATATCTTCACTCGCTCCTTGATTGTTATCGGCTTCTCCCCGTTCGGTGACAAGAGGTCGGGCCTCGGCTCGTCGTGACGTTCGGCTGATCTCGATCTCTGCTCCGAGGAAAAGAAGTCTGCTTTGATCCTGCCCGCCACTGTTCTGTCCGGAGAGGTGTCCGCGCTCCGCTGGGTTTGGATGGTCTTAGCGGGACCCACATCTCGCTGCTTTCGCTCAAAGAGGCTGATTTTGTCCGCAATCCGGCGAACGGCCGCTTTAGGCTCTTCGACGACCTTCTTTTGGCTGGCAAGTCTGAAAAAGATGAAACGCAGCACCGTGAATTTAATCGTTGGAAGATCTTTGCTGTCAGAGAGCAATCCTAGCAGAGCTGAACTTTGGGTTATGACTCATGCTGTCTCGTCACTGTGGAAACACCTGTGTTAATTCCACCAACACTTGTTAACTATTCTGAACACCAGGTCATGGCAGACAAAAGAAAAGGGCATGTAAAATACAAACTTTTGTTAAAAAATATCTCTTTTCCTTCTAATAAACTGGTATTAACTGTTACACTAATACAAATGCAAATAATCACACTTCAAATCAGTGTTTTCCTTAACTCACCTCATATTAGTCTCTGTTTTGGGCCTATTTTTCACTCCATCTGCAGCATTTCTTGTTGTGCTATCCAAATCCTGGTGTTCTACAGCTGGGGTCAGCTTTGGAGTAAAAGGAACATGTTTTGTAAAAAGTTTCACTTCACTCCTGGAAACCTTGATGCTCCTGCGTTTGGACTCGGGCGTCTCCGTCTTCCTCTCCACTTTGTAAAAACTGTCATCCCCTTCCATGTTTGCAGCACCGTCCGCCTGAGCGACTCCAGCAACTGAGATTGAGTTCTGGATGTCGTCCAGCTCATTGACCAAATCTGAGGAGGGACTCTTAGTTTCTCCCCCTTCAGGTAAAACCAGTAAGGTTGGGTTGGGCTTGAAGGAGGAGTCTGCAGATGCTGTTTTAAGGTGAGTGTTTGAACTCTGGCCCAGTGGACTGGCCGCTGAGTCGTCTGATGGGGAGAATACGTCTGCAGCCGGAGGATTTTCCGGCCTTTTTTCCACAGGACTTTTCCCTCCATCTCCCTGAGAGTTCTTCCTGATTCTCCTTCGGCTGGCGTTTTTCCGGCCCATGTCGTCTACCTCTGTTTGCTCTCTATCAGGCTCAGGCTCAGACTGTGAGCCTTTGTGTGGTTTTAGCGACACTCCCACCAGAGTACTGTAATAACTCTGTGAACCAGCAGGTCTTACATTTTTCTCTGCACTTGTCAGACTGCTGGTGGATAAATCGAAACCCGGTGATGACTTTGCCCTGCCTATAACCTTTAAGCTTTTTTTGACTGTCGTGCGGACAACTTCCTTTTCGGGGCAGTTGTCTAGGTCACTCAGGTTCACACTGGTCTCCTCCAGGTACACATGGAGCCTCCGGCCTGTCTGTTCCTGTCTGTGAGTCAGGGTGTGGGCCTGGTCAAAGTCCCGCGCCACTCCCTGTTTAGACGAAGCAGGCAGATGTCTCAGATGACTGACATTCCTCTGAGGACTTCCACTCGACGATGCACCGCTGTTGGTCTCCTCCCTCCCGTCGCCCTGCCCCGTTCTCAGCTTCCTCCACGGCTCAGGCCCCTCCTCTCTTGGACCTCCTCCTCCCGGCTCAGTGTTGCCGTCTCTGTGGGCAGACTGCGCGGCGTCCTCGTTTTCACAAATGCTTTTGAAGAGCGGACCAGTGTTCCCGTCCCAACAGTGTTCTTCCCCCGCGTGGGTTCTCACAAAATCCTCACCATCCCCTCCTGTCTTAGTCCAATCACCAGGTGAGGACCCATTTTCACTGGGAGACCTTCCTTTCCATGGAGAGAACCAACTGCCGATCCGGCCCAAGACTCCAGTACTCGGCTGCTCTTCGAGGCTCTCAGACTAAAGCAAATTTAAAATATAAACAAATCAGTTTCTTGATCATTTAAACACTTGCTAATGAGTTAGGAAACATGCAACTGAAAATGTTTCTATGCAGGTAGATAAAAAAAAACAAACAGGTCAACCAGGATGTTACTTGTAAGTGCCAAACTGACTGAAAAGAAGGGGTGCACAGGCTGGCGGTTCTAGGAAAATAGACATTTCTGTTGCAGCCATGCATCTCTCAGCATTAGCAAAGACATGCACCGGTGCTTATAAGCTTACCGTAGAAAATACCAAATCATTCAGACTCTTTATGTAGGTTGTGAACATGATTTTTGCTTTAGAACAAAAACTCCTACAGAGCATAAAAACAGACACAAATTCACTTCACCAATAAACAGTGGCACGTGTGCAACGTTATCTGAAAAATACAGGCTGTACCGCCTCATCAAAAAAGTAAAAGATTATTTTAAAAAAAACGACTTTTCTAAATTTAAAGCAGACTCTTGTCAGTGCAAGTTCAACTCACCCTTAATTGAAGGGAACTTTTCTCTCCTCTCTTTAAAAGCAAACAGCAGTGAAACAGTCCTGGTTAAGGTCTTCTCTAAAATGCATGATCACTTGTTGCCTCTGCTCCTCTCGGCTCCAGTTATTAAAGCATCCCCAACTATCTGAGCGCTGAGAGAAACGCGCGCGCCTCAAGTTCAGCCCCCCTCACAGAGCGCGCGCAGCCCGGACCGTGCTCAGAATGGTGCTTTCAAGTGCTGCTCGTAAACTTTTCACATCACTGTGAGTCATTAAGGGATGATTCCGCGTCAAAAACTGCAGTTTAATTTTAGATTTATCTGGAAACGGACAACTTCTAGCCTGTCAACTTTTAAAATCAGCTACAAGTTATTTAAAGAGGGAAAGAAAACATGTTAAAGAAACAATTCCTGTATTATTATCATGACTATTAAAGCCTTATAGAAAATTAATTTAACAGCTGTTCGTTTCTTTCTCTTCAGAGGCTTAAATTAGCTTCATACGTATATATATACACACACATACATACACACACATATATAT